AAAATGAATGCTAAAAATTTTTGTGGTTTGTTATTATAGGAACAAGTACTATTCAAAGGGGAAAAAAAAGGCACAGATGGGGTCAGGGCAGAGAATAAGAGATTATCCTAGATGCCTTATTCAGACTTAACCTCTATCACAATATTTTTAACACTTCCCATTCACAGGACTCACAAAATTGATCTTCCTGGGTACTTTAACCTGGCTGACAATGCCACCTCGAACATAGTCTGAGAACCTGGTTGTGTCACAGATACTGAAGGTATATGGGCCTGGAGGACCAGAAGATAGGAATTAGAGGATGTTGTCCTGCTCATACTCTTTTCAACTGTAGCCCCATTGAATAAAAAAATGCTTTCACCCTCCACTGACTCACCTAGGACTTTAATTTCTACAGGTGGGCTGCTGTTAAGTTCACTCATACCCTGTACCTCAGTAAAGGAGACAAAGTCCCCACTTTCGAATCCATGACGTGTCTCATCCAGGCAGGTCACTACTCCTGGGCTACCCTAAGTAAAGATGAGAGAAACCAGGCTGTCAACGGAAAGAGCATGTGCTTTGTTTTAGGGGAACTGTGCTATCTACCTTCTATATCTCCAACCCTTTCACTGCCTCAAGGTATCCCAATGTTTAGCCCCTCACCTTGGTTACCATGGAAACCATGGCACTGAGTGGCTGTTCTCCATTTGAGTCAATTAGGACCATCTCCTCCCCAAAATCACAGAACAGCTGCCTGCAGAAGATACAGATTTTCTTCACTGGATTACCTTGTATTCCATAGACATAAGTTATAGCTCTAAGACTTTATGTTCTAAATTTTGTCTTATATTTTAAAGATGACTTACCTAACAATTTACCAGTTTGCTTCAGAAGATTATCTATGACTGGTACTCTTTTTGGTCTGTTTGCTCCTAGACTACCCATTAAATCATACCCATACATATGAAATAGATGCCCTGGTGAAACTGTTCCAGAAAACCCTGTGTGTTTGGCAGACATGACTTCACTAAAATGTTTAAGGGAGCCCTCCAGGATGAGCAGAGTTCAAAGGAATGGTAGTACTCACCCAAACAGACCTCGAGTGTCAGCTACTACAAGCTTGATAGCCTGGTTATGGCAAAATTCACCAACACGCAACTGTTCCTCTAGGGATGAGTTGGTCAGAACTACTACCTATGGGTAACAGAAGTAAAAAAATAATAGGACTGAAAAGAGACAGATAAATAAGAATGAACTATATCTTGCGAATTCCATGGGGATGACTACATGGGGAATTCTGGAGGGACTAAGGAAATCTCAGCCATTTATTAAGATTTCAGGGGTGGAGTTTTGGAAGGATAAAGAGTTTCTGCATACGTGGAAGCTACTTAGGAAGTCTTCAGTTAGGGGACCTGTGTATGCACAAACAGGTACATAAGTGTTTAGCTCAGCCAAGTGAGGTTGTGATGCTTCAGCACGGTTCTTGCCTATATCTTCCTCTTGCAAATAAAACTGAGAATCAGAGAAAAGGAAAATTATTAGCTGGGTTACCAGGGACTTTTACCTCTTTAAGGTTTTTAGGGGAGAAAAGAACTGATAACAGAACTGAGTGATTACCTGGGAAGACAGGTCAGTCCACTGGGCAGTACCCTGGTCATGGAGGGTTACGGATTTGACACCGCCAAGGATGATATTCTTAGCAATTTCAACACCTAGGCCTCGTAGGCCAGATATTAGGACACTGGACATTTGTAACCGTTTCATTGCTTCATGACCCAAGACATAACTGGGAAGAGAAGGGGGTGGGGGGAGTGAGGGTTAAATCCTTCATGTCTATTTTGCATAACCTGCCTTATTTTGTTTCTGTATTCCCCACTCCCCCATAGTCTTTCACTTGATCTTACAGTTGTCTTGAGTATAGACCTTCATCTATATCAGCTTCACTTCCATTTTTTGCCATTCCCTGAAGACATATTAAGAATTGGGATTAGTGGGAAGTTCTATGTCAACTTGCACTTGTTTTTTTCAGCATTTCTGATGTTTAAGTCAAGATACTTACTTTACCAGGTGCAGTGGGAGCTTCAGCAGGTACAAGGTCGGCAGGAGAGTGGCTGGAACCTGGCTTTGGATCAGGCTTGGGCATGCAACGTTTCTTGGACAAAGGTGAACTAGACATCTTGTTGAAATGGAAATGATAAATATATGAGTTTGGTTTTAAGTGGTAAATGTAGTCTGAGAGTAAATTGAAAATTTAAGAGGAAGAAGAGTGGAATGCATTTGTCAGTAAATGAACTGTGGTGACCCAAATAATTAGACAAATGTAAAAGTATGAGGACGTGGCTAAGGATTGAAAGATGTTATGCAGTTTTTTGGGGTGAACAAAGATATTATTGTTGAAGTGAAGCATATTGATAGTAAATATTTGGCTTTACTTTGGGAGCATGAAAGAAAAGGGAAGTGGACTGAATAAGCATTTAATAAGAGCCCTTCAGGTGCAGAGTATTGTGAAAAATGATTTGCGTGATTTTTACAACTTTGTTAAGTGGGTGTTATTATTCCTATTTTATAGATGGACCAACTGGGGCAAAGAGTGCTTAAGTGAACTGTCTAGGATTAAATGGTTAAAATGGTTTTGATTTGTGGCAAGATTTATATTTATATAAATGTTTTGGGCTGTTTAGGCTTAAAAGAAATTGTTTGGAAAAACTAGTTCTGGGAATGAGGTCTCAATTAAGAAGATGGGTCGGGGACAATAACGTTGCTATTAGTATAAAAGGGTAAACGAGAGGAAACAGTTTGGATTTTTTAAGTGGGAGCACTTTCCAGGAGGCGGAGTTTCAATTACCTCACACAAAATGGCGGACGAAACTATAGAGTCCCGGATGTTTGTTTCGCCTCCCCTCACAAATAAAAGTTACCCGTGTTTTGATGCGAAGTGGAACATGACTAAAAAGCAACTTAAGTTTGGTCAATAAGTTTTGTTCAACACTCAAGTTTAAAGAATACAAGAAATTGTGTTTCATAAAAAATTTCCAACTAAATGGTTCTCGAAACTTTATCCCCAAACGCCACAATCCATAAAGACCCTAAAAAATTAAAGAAACTAGTAAAACCGAAACACACGGAGGCGGACATCTGCTAAAACTTTTCATTAAGCACAAATTAAAACCAAATACTTTGTTAATTAGTACTTCTTACTCTTTCTAATCAAAATGTCTATTCTACCGTAACCGATTAGTAAAAAACAAAGACCGCCAAACGCCAAAAGGATAAAAATTCACCCTTTTATAATACGCAGTAAATTCTGACCAAAATAACCAAAGAATTGCATAAAAAGTATTAAACTACTACAACATCAAAACATTTATTGCTGTAACGATTTATTTCTATTAAAATAAATTTTTCCTTCATGCCACACTCCGTCACCCCACTCCCACTTTAATCCCACCCTTCTCAAAATTCCACGAGACAATGAAAAAGTTTTTAAAAACCACCTTTTCCTCAACTAGCTTTCTTTTTACCACGCCATGGAGTATCCCTTTTCTGGATTAATCTTACCGCCTCCTTCAAGACATTAACGGTCGAATCCTCACCCTACAACAACACATAGCGTATTTAAGGCAATGATAAAGACTTACGACGGATGACGGAATCAAAAAAGGATTGAACCACTTGCACGGGGAGACCTTTTTTTATTTTTTCCAATTTTTTGTAGCTATGTCATTAACTACTGGCACTGCAACTGATCACTCTCATTAAATTAATTTTTTCTTAAAGCATAGTTCCTTTTCCCCCCACATCATTCTTCAGAAACGCCTCCGGTAGATTTCCGTAACCCCCTCAACTAAAATGTATGGTATAGTCCAAAGCTAGTCGCAAAGTAACTTGGGTTATTTTTGTCCGAACAATAGCCTGTAACCGAACGCCTTTCCTTACTCCTGAGCCCTAAAATTGAACCTTGGGTGGTCATAAAATTATTTCTTTTTGTGGATTACAGTAATTTTAAAAAGATCTGTTTTAAAGGCAATTAAAAAAAAAACCTTTACTTTCACTGTCGGGGAACTTTTGTTAAAAATGCCGCCTTCTGAAACATACTGTATGTGACAATGTACGTCGACTAAAACAAATTGTGACTCAGTTAAGCGATTTAAAATCACAAAATTATTCACACCAACAATTTAACTAAAATCATAGAAACCAAATACATGCATAAAAGTTAAGTCTCATAGTAAAATAAAACAAGAATAGAACTCGAATCTAATTTGTTAATGTTAAAAAAAAGTTCATTCAAATCCATATTTGACTTCAATTGTACTTACGAGAGGGAAAATTTAAATTTCACTTTATTTTCCAATTAAGTCATTAAACATGTAACATGACAAAACTAACAAATTATGAAAAAATTAAAGGTCATATAATAAACATAATTTTTAAAGTACTTTTTAAGTATATGGTTACATTGCTCTAAAAGTAGAAACACTGAGTACCTGTATGAGGTTAGCAACGACTGTGCTTTGGTCCTGAACGAATCCTTTTTGTGTTAGGCTGTCTTGTGTAGATTCATCCACAGCAATGCTCTTCTCTGGTGGGATGATACGAAGAAGTAACCATTAATACAAAATGTGTTACAAGCCAAATTTCAAATAAATTACTACACCGCGCCCCAAACCCTCCCCCCACAACCCGCCCGCCCGGCCGCCCCTTTTCCCACTTTTTCTCCAAGCTCATCACTAAAGTCAACCAATAGCCACACCTTAGGGGGCGTAGCTTGAGAATCTAAGGTCTTAGTGACGCAAAAAACTGCCAATGACAATCGAGATGAGACAAGCGGGAAGACCGCGACCACCAATGAATGTGCGCCAAGCTGGGACTTACGCCATGGTGACTGAGATTTACTAAGGTTTGCGGAGGAAATTTTTAGTTTCGGGGGGGGGGGCTCACAAGCACAGCGAAGGCCGCCATTTTATGTTGGTGTTTCGGGGCGGTTTTTGGTATTGTACCTTTGGTTTTGGCTAGGAAAGTGGGTGGGGGAACAGGAAAAATAGTACGTTCCCTACCTCTAGCCTTTTCCTGATCCCGTATATGTGACAGGGTGCGCGAGCTACGGTGTAGCTCGTTATACTTTTGCGCGTGCGCCTGAGCGAGGGGGCGCCTCACCGAACTCCCCGCCTCACAAATCGAAACTAGCAGGTGAGTGAGGGAGGAAGGAGAACTGAGGAAATTCTGGGACACAAACCTAGGCTGAGCAGTGAGAGAGGTAGGGTTATGGGGTATTTCTAGATTTGGTTTGAGAAGAGAGGGAACCACAACTTTCTGGGAAATATGTGTCTGAAGAACGAACAATGGTAGGCCACTGCCTAGGCAGGCAAAATCTCGGTGGGCGGGAGGTTTGGAAAGAACCACTAAACACGGTCCATCTCCCCTAAACCCCACCCATCCTATATTTGACGGTTGGTTAAAGATGTGAACACCACAGCTTGACTTCTTCCTCCTAAAACGTCGAAACAGTTAAAGTGTGAGCTTCAAAAAACACAAAACAATACTGTTAGCCACAAATAGAGTTCCTAAAAACTGAACATAGCCCTAAAATATTAAACAGTACTATATAGTGTATTTTTCTCTCACTTTAGGACCAAATTTAACCCCAGGAAATACTAGAGGGGGCAGTGAAAGCAGATGGTAAAGAGTATTATTTTGAAAAAAGAAGAAACTTATTAATTTGCTGTCGGCGAAACTAATTTCAGAATGATCATTAGTTATATTACTTATAAATATCATTAATTGCCCTTAAAAACATGAGGAGTAACCCAAGCACCCAAGTCATTTCACCCCCACAAAAGCCCAAATCCTGTTTCTTCTCAATGGACTTAACTACGAAAGTGAAAAATTATTTGTAACTCTAAAACAGACTACTATCCACAATTTCCTGTCCCTCTATATTTCCCGATTAGAAAAATAGCTCCCATTTCCTTAATGTACCTATATCTATGCCACTTTCTTAAAACTTCAATTATAGTATAGAATTTCTTGTACCTTCCTAATTTTCCATTTCTTTGTTCCCAACTTCTTATTCTCAAGTATGAAAACGCTCCTAACAAAACTGGCAAGTACAGCCACTATTAAAATATTAGAAGGAAAAAAAGTTTTGTTAAATGAGAAACAAAGTTGAAATCTCAGCTTCTAAACAAGATATTTAGTACAACTTAAAGCCAAATTATCTAATTGCTTCAATAATTTTACTTCCCACTCCTGAATCTTAGCCCTGAGAATACCGCTTCCCATCCAGTTATCCTATACCATGTGTTTTTGCATATTTTGTTTATACATGTTGTTTGGATCTTATTTGCCCCATTAAACAATGAACTGTGATAGCAAGGACTGTTTTTTTTTCCTTTCTTTGTATCTCTGTAGTTTAACTGTTATCTTTTCTGTGGTAAATCTTCAATAAATGCTAATTTGTCTTTACTCTGTCCGCTGATCTCCAAACCACTTTGTTTTCCTGAATGCTTATTTGTTACGGAATTAAAAGTACTCTTCCTTATGCCTTCTTCAATTCCCTTCTTACAGTTCTTACTTCCTTGAGTAAACATGACCAGAAGACAACCATCCAGAAACACATGTTCAAATACACTAAAATAAAAAATATGCTATCATTTTTTAAATTATGATTGGATTGCTGACCCTTAATTATAACTAAGTGCCACAAAATAATGAATGACAGTTTGCCTGGAGTCAGTAAAACTCATCTTCCCAAGTTCAAATCAGGACTCAGACCCTTACTAAGCTGTGTAATTAATCCTGTTTGCCTCAATTTCCTCATTTCTAAAATAAGCTGAAGAAAGAAATGGTGGACCACTCCAGTATCTTTACAAAGACAACCCCAAATGAAGTCATGAGAAGTCTGAAAAAAACAGAAGTAACAATTAAACACTACTTAGTAGCCTGTTAAAATACAAGGAGAGGGTTATACTCTTGAATATCTCCCTTAGAATAACTTCCCTAGATTCCTACCTCAATGTAAGATAATTTCTCCTCTTCTCTCTCTATTCTCTCTCCTTCCCTCCTTTCTTCCCTCTCTTCTTTTCTATCTTTCTCTCTGTCTTTCTGGATGTGTTTTTCTCTTACTCTGTGTTTATCTATCCATTTGTCTGTTTGACTGTTTCTCTGTCTTTCTTTCTGTCTGTACCTTACTCTCTCTCTCTCCCTCCATCTACTCTCCTTCTTACCTCCCTTTCTTTCTTATCTCTCTATCCTCTCTCTCTTCTTTAATCTGCTGCCTTCCCTCTCTCTGTCTTCTCTTTTTCTCTCCCTCCCTCCTTGCCTACCTTCATGTGTCCCTCTCCATCTTTCTCTTTGCTTCTCACTTTTCTTCCTTCTTTCCTCTCCTATCTCTCTCTTTCTATCTCTTTCTTTCTCTCTTTTCACTTTTTTCATACCTCCTTCATTTTACTTTCTCTGTTTATGTCTCTATATCTATCACTGTCCCTTCCCTTGTTTCCCTTTTCTCTCATCATCTCTAACTTTCTGTCTCTTTCTATTTTCTTAATTCTCTCTCTCTCTCTCTCTCTCTCTCTCTCTCCCTCTCTCTCTCTCTCCCACCTATATCTCTATCTGTCTCTTGTCTGTCGGTTTCTGTGTCTGTCTGCCTGCCTATCTTTCTGTATCTCTCTCTCACTCTCTCCTCACCTTCTTACCTCCCTTTCCTTTATGTTCCTTCTGTCATCTCTCACTCTTGACCATTCTCTCTTCACTTCCCTCTATCTCCCTCTCTTTCTTCTCCATTAATTGCCTTCCTTCCTGTGTCCCTCTCCATCTCCTCTCCTCTCTCTCCCTCCCACTTTTCATCCATCATTCCTTTCCTATCTCACTCTCTCTCTGTTTCTTTTCCCTCTTCTCCCTCATTCTCTGTGTCTCTGTATCTCTCTCTGTCACTCTATCTTTTGGTCTCTCTCTCTGTTCTTTTCTCTATCACTGTTCATTTGATTACCTCTCCCTTTCTTTCTATGTCTCTCTCCTCCCTTTTTTCTTCCCACCAACCTTTTCTATCTCTGTCCCACCCTCTTTCCCTCTCTCCTCCTCTAACTCTCTCCTCTCTTTTTCCTTCCTTTCTTCTTTCTCTTCTTTTCTCTCTCTTTCTGTCTCACTGTGTCTCTTTTTCTCTGTCTCTGTGTTTTTCTATATATCTGTCCCTCTGACTGACTGTCAGTCTGTGTGTCTGTGTGTCTGTCTCTCTTTCAGTCCCTCCGTATTCTCTTCCCTCTCCTCTCTCTCTCCCTCCCTCCCTTGTCTCTCATTTCTTTTTGGTCTAATCTCTCCCTCTTTCCCTCTCCCTCTCTCCCTCTCTCTCTCTCCGTCCCTCACTCTCTCTCTCACTCTCTCTCTGTGTGTCTCTCTCTCCCTCCCTCTCTCTCTCTCCCTTTCTCTCTCCTTAAATGTCTTCTTTCCAATCTCCTTTTCCATCTCTGTCCCTCCATCCCTTTCTCCTCTTCTCTCTCTCTTCTCTCTCCTTCCGTCCTTTCTTCCCTCTCCTTTTCTATCTTTCTCTCTGTCTTTCTGGGTCTGTTTTTCTTTTACTCTGTGTTTATCTATCCATTTGTCTGTCTGTTTCTCATTCTTTCTTTCTGTCTGTGTCTTACTCTCTCTCTCTCTTCCTCCATCTACTCTCCTTACCTCCCTTTCTTTCTTTTCTCTCTATCCTCTGTCTTTTTTAATTTCCTGCCTTCCCTCTATCTACCTTCTCTCTTTTTCTCTCCCTCCCTCCTTGCCTTCCTTCATGTGTCCCTCTTCATCTTTCTCTTTGTTTCCCACTTTTTTTCCTTCTTTCCTCTCCTATCTCTCTCTCTTTCTATCTCTTTCTTTCTTTCTCTCCTGTCATTTTTTATACCTCCTTCTCTTTACTTTCTCTGTTTATGTCTCTATATCTATCACTGTCCCTTCCCTTGTTTCCCTTTTCTCTCATCATCTCTAACCTATTGTCTCTATTTCCTTAATTCTCTCTCTCAGTCTCTCACTTTCTCTCTCTCTCTGTCTCGCTCTCTCTCTCTCCCCCCTCTATCTCTGTCTGTCTGTCTCTTCTTCTCTGTCAGTTTGTGTGTCTGTCTGCCTGCTTATCTTTCTGTATCTCTCTCACTCTCTCCTCCCCTTCTTACCTCCCTTTCCTTTCGGTTCCCTTTCTCATCTCTCACTCTTGACCATTCTCTCTTCACTTCCCTCTATCTATCTCCCTCTCTTTCTTCTCCCCATTTCGTCCCTTCCTTCCTGTGTCCCTCTCCATCTCCTCTCCTCTCTCTCCCTCCCACTTTTCATCCATCATTCCTTTCCTATCTCACTCTCTCTCTGTTTCTTTTCCCTCTTCTCCCTCATTGTCTCTGTCTCTGTATCTCTCTCTGTCACTGTCTGTCTTTCAGTCTCTCTCTCTCTGTTCTTTTCTCTATCACTGTGAATTTGATTACCTCTCCTATTCTTTCTATGTCTCTCCTCCCTTTTTTCTTCCCACCTTCCTTTTCTATCTCTCCCCCACACTCTCTCCCTCTCTCTTCCTCTACCTCTCTCCTTTCTCTTTCCCTCCTTTCTTCTTTCTCTTCTTTTCTCTCTTTCTCTGCCTCACTGTGTCCCTTTTTCTCTGCCTCTGTGTTTTTCTATATATCTGTCCATCTGACTGACTGATTGTCGGTCTGTGTGTCTGTTTATCTGTCTCTCTCTCTCAGTCCCTCCCTCCTCCCTTCTCTCCTTCTCTCTCTCACTCCCTCCCTTTTCTCTCATTTATTTATGGTCTAATCTCTCTCTCTCTCTCTCTCTCTCTCTTTCTTTGTCTCTGTCTCTTTCTCTGTCTCTCTGTCTCTGTCTCTCTCCCTCTCTCTCTCTCCCCCCTCTCTCTCTCCTTAAATTTCTTCTTTCCAATCTCCTTTTCTATCTCTGTCCCTCCATCCCTTTCTCCTCTTCTGTCTCTTCTCTCTCTTTCTCTCCTTTCTTCCCTCTCTTCTTTTCTATCTTTCTCTCTGTCTTTCTGGGTCTTTTTTTCTCTTACTCTGTGTTTCTCTTACTCTGAAATTTAGATGCTCTTTGTCATAGTTAATACTTTGTTTAGGCAATTAGCAAAACTGGAGGAGCTAATGTAGACATGACTGAACAATGTTAGCAAAATGAAGGCAAGCTTTTGACTTGGATACAAAAGACAGAAAGGACTTCTGTTATTGCAGCTCTCTACTAACTTGTGACAGATCACCTCGCCTACAATTTTACCCTTTAGTTTGTATATTCAATAACTTTTAGGATTGTGTGGCTCAAAGAAGTGAGGATCAAAGTAAAATTAAATAATTAAGTGGCGTTTTTCTAAAAAAAAAAAAATTCAGTGTGAGCAGGACCTTGAAAGGGAGGATAGCAAATAGTATTCAAAGAAAGAGCAGACAATCTAATAAAAGTGTAGATGTTAGAAAAGGAATAGAAGAGATCTGGAGAGATCATTGAATCCAGAAGGGGAAAATAAAGCTATAAATATAAGACCATATATCTACGGTTAACCAACCTAGTTCAACTCTTTGGTGAGGAAACTAAGGCCAGGACAGTAAAATTACTTGCCTCCTGTCTCACAGATGAGTTTTTATTGTTAAGTAAGACATAAATACAACTCCTCATAGACCTTGAACCCTTTTTACAATACCATACTAATTCATGGGACAGATAACAAAAGTTAAGTCATTAATGGCCTTTTCTGGTGGAATTAAAGAGAGACAAGAATAATGGGTCCTTGTGGATTAGGGTTGGAGGAAGATAGAGATTGCTCCATTAAGGTTTTTCTGTGCAGCCAATACTACTTCCCTTCAGCAACCGTTAATAGCACACAGGTATTAAAAAGGAGACTTGAATTTGAACTCAATCTCTGGCAAAAAAATCTTAAAATGATCTTAGGGAATTGCTTCTGTTTGTCTCTCTTGAAATGTAACAAGTATAGGTTCACCAAAATAAACCAGTTTTCACACAATAGAGCTTTAAGTTCATAAGTATCTATTATGTTTTATATTACAATCAAGATTCAGGCACTTCACCAAAGTTGTATTCCTAGTAATTATTAAGACCAGGGATTCAATGCCTAATTTCAGACTTCCAACCCTCTTTTTTTTACCTTTGGAAAACTTTACATCTTTTCCATTCTGTAACAGATGCTAAGCAAGTAGCCTTATCTGTATGTTTTGATCTGTCCTTGCAACTCTTCAGTTTCCTCTCTTTTATTCAGATCTCCAGCAGAGAAACCGTGCAGGCTAGCAGAACATGGTGTTGGAAGCAAGCGGGTAGTAGTCGTGTCTGAAAAGTGAAGAGAAACCATTGGCCCAGGAGGAGTACCCAAAACATGGAGTATGGAAGACGGTAAATTAATCTGTAAACATTTTGCACTATGCAAAATTAGGATTACAAAGAAAATAAAAAATAGTTCCTGCTCAGAAGAAACTCAAAATTTAATGGAGGGGACAACATGCAAACAACTATGAAGAAGCTAGTTACATTTAGAATAGATTGTAAATAATCCGTAGAGGTAAGAAGTAAAATCCATATCAGAGGGAAGAGGAAGAGGTAAAATATTTGGGGGGAAAGGGGAGATCTTTCTAATTTTTTTCTGAGAACTTACTTTGTCTCTTTAAAGTAAGAAGGTTTTAGGCATTCATTTGTGAGTATATAATAACATTATTAGCTAGAATTTTTTAGTGCCTTAAGATTTTTAAAGCACTGTTATGTTGCCCCATTTGAGTCACACAACAATGTTGCAACCAAGTTGACAAAACTAAATAACCACTTCCTTGAGTAAATCCATTGTTGCCTTGTGAAAATCAATGGTTCTCATATGTCAAGTGATTTTATAAGCAGATAAGTTCCTGAGAAATTTATGTGATGTTTTTCATTTTATGAAGTATTTTCCTCCGTACTGATGTAAGGTTGGCAACACAGATTTTTTTTTTGTTTGATTTTTTGAAACAACTTTAGATTAGAAGGGGAAGGGGATAAGAGAAGTGGGGGAGATAGAAGGGAAGACAGATTATGGGAAGCCATCTTGGGGTGGGGAGAGGGATGAGATGGGGAGAAAATCTGGAACTCAAAATCTTGTGGAAGTGGATGTTGAAAACTAGAAGTAAATAAATTAATAAGAAACAGCTTTAGATGAAACAATTTACTTATTCATATAGCTACTTAAATATTAGAACTAAATTTGGTATTAACATCTTGATTAAAATTGTCATTTGAATCTTGAATTTAAAGTATAGTATCCTTCCTCGAAATTCTGTACTCTTTTTGGCTTTATACTTTACTCCTTTTCCCTGCATCCTAAGATTTAGCCGGATTGGTTTTCCTGATATTCTTACAAATCGAACACCATCTCCTGTCTTTATGTGTTTATGGTAGCCATCTTTGACCCCTTACTCCTTAAATTGTTTTAGGGTTAGGGTTACAGTTAGAGGTGAAGAAACAGAAGAAGGGTTTTGCTAGTAAATCTTTAACAAAACGTACCTATGATACACTTTTAAGTTTAATCTGTATTATTGACATTTTTATCACTTTCTTAAGTCCAGACAATCAGCCTGTATTTGTAGCTTGCTGACTTTAAATTGTAAATGTTTATATTCAAAGTTTAACAATTACCTTAGCACAAGTTGGCCACTAGAACTGTCAGAGCCCAACTAGTCTAATCTGCTTATGTCTGTACTCCCCAGAGGGGGCCGTGGAGATAGGACTGGCCTATATGGTGCCTCTGTCTGCTCACAAGATGAGGGAGTAGAGAGCCAAAGTCTGAGAGACCTTGATTATCGGGACATGGATTACCGTTCCTACCTCTGTGACTTCAACAGTCAGGAACTCAAACATGATTATGGCTTATCTGAGGAACGGAGTGCAGAGGTAACTGGTTTTCTTTCCTTTTTATCCCCATTGTACTGCCATGAGGAGTAATACTCTGACAAAATTAATTGTTCCTGAATTTGACTGTAGCTGTCAAGAGGACTTTCAATAGCTAACTGCTTTGTGCAGCTCTGCCTCACTTAAATATAATTCGCTCACAAGGCAAAATATCACCTACTCTTTGGCTTTTGGGTGAAAGTGGAGAGGAAGAGATTAAAGGTTATCTCCTTGCTTCCTTCTTTTCCTCCCTTGGCTTTGACTCTTAAGGTTTCTGTATTCACCTTCCAATTATAGGAAGTACTTGAAGAATTTATCCCATAGTTTTCTAGAGACCTAGGAGACGAGTGTATTCACCTCTGGTTGTTTACTTCACTGTCCCCCCTTTTTTGTTCTGTCTGGCCAGCTATCCCAAAGTAGTGGAGGTTTGCTCCTTTACCTCTATTACTGAGTTAAGAAGAGGTCTTCTGCCTGCTTCCTTGACTCCCTTAGCTGGTCCTTGACTGTTTTGGGGGGAATAAGCCATTAAAAAAACTTGCCTCTGGATAAGAGTCCAAAGTTTAGGGTAACTGGAAAGATTATGTGGAGCCATCACAAAAAAAAAACTTATTGAAAAGAAACACTTCTTACCCTAGTGCCTTTCAGTTAAAAGCTTATAGTATGTAGGGAGAACAGTAAATTGCTATTTGAAATTTTACTTATTAGCCCTTTTTATTGTATTGTTTATAATTTGTCCATTTTAGTTAATCATCTGCATATGGTTGTTACAAGGTATAAGCCTCATTTTGAAATAGGCACCATTGTTAATATATCCCCATTTTAAAGGAGAATAAACTGAAGCCAAGAAGCTGTTATATGCCTGACACCTACTTAAAGTTACATCATATTTTAGTATGAGGCCAGTATCCATTCCCTTTCATAAAGAAACCCATGTGTTATCAGTTCGGCCTCCTACTTTTATAGGTAAGGAAATAAATCCAGAGAGGTAAATTGACTAGTTCAGGATCAGAGAGGTAGTAAATACATCAAGGCTTTGAAACCAGGTACTCTGACCAATAAACCAGCATTTGTTCCTCTTCATTAAGTACCTGATTCAGTTAGGGGGATATAGCTTTAGGGATTATCTGGTCTGAGGAGATATATGCCCATACACTCTGGTGTGGAAAAACTGGGCTGGCCTTGTGTTTTGTCCTGAACAAAGTAAAATAATTCAATGCAGTAGATGTTTATTAAGTGTGTACTCTGTGCAGGGCACATTACAGAGTACTTTCGGCAAGTAAATGTGTCTGAAAACTATACAAATCTGAAGAAAGACATTTGTACCCCAGCCTGTGCCGAGTTAAGCCTGTATCCCTATATCCTTGAGCTGGGCTTTCTTCTCTTCCTGTCTAGTTTTTACAACTATGTGTAAGATCCAGACTCACTACCTTGTCTCTTTCATTTCCTTCTTATGCTCAGCAATCTTATGAGGCTTCTTCAGGTTCTGAAACACAGCGTAAGTGGGACAGCCCTACTGAGCCACTTGGTTTCCCTGGAGATGGTGACTTACGGGACCAGGATTATCGAACAGAGCCAAGGGGGGAGGAAGAAAAGGCCAGTAACATCATCTTGCTGAGAATGCTGCCACAGGCAGCTACTGAAAATGACGTACGTGATGTTGGGGTTCTCCTGGGCTATCTGGGTCCTATTGGGAGGGCTCATGCTAAGATGGGTGACTGTGAGTTTCGAGGAGCCAAGAGCTATTGGACATTAGATTTGTACCAATTGGGCAAAAGGAAGCATTTGCTCAACTTTTAGGAGCTCACAGTAGTAAGGGATGGTATGTGAGTAAATGTGGTGTGGAAGGATGGGGTACACAGCAGAATTTTGTTTTGGAGGATCACCAGAGGAAAGTGCTGGTATTGGTGTTTTTTGTCTGGCCTTTCCTCTACGGCATACTAGCAGTCCCTTCATCTGGATTTTTCCTGGATTAATTTCTTGGTCTTTTCACCTTCTTTGTGGCTCCTGGGAATTTTCTTTACATTACTGTACTTCAGTCATTTCTCCACTGTTCTGCATACATTGATAGCTGGTTCCATATTGCTTACACAATGATATCGCATACTCTTACCTTACCCATTAGGTCTATTCTGTCTTTTATTTTTTTGAAGATTCTGCTGCTTGCTTTCCCCACCCTATTCCACTGTTGTTTTCACTTCTACACATCTTTTCTGACCTAAAATTAGTTCAGTTCAATTAACAGATATTAAATATTTCAAAGAGCATTTTACTGGGGAAGAACATTAAAAAAAATAATGGAGATGGGGAAATGAGCAAAAGCTTGAAATAGGATCTGCACACTGAAAAAAAAAGGGATTCTGCAAGGAAGAGATAAGGAGAGACTATTTCAGGTGTAGAATATGGCTGTGCAAATGTATTGAATGGGAGATGATAAAATTTTGAGATTGAGGGAAGTTAGTTGTCAGTTAGGGCTGAAACATGAGGGTTCTTAGAGAATTAAAAGAGAAAAGGAAGAAATAAATCTGGAAAGGTAGGTGGGATTGTAGAGGATGTTAAATATTTGGCCAATGAGTTTGCATTTTTTTATCTATGTCAGCATTAAGGAACCATTGAAAATTTTAAAGATGAGACTTGTGCCCTAGGAAGATAATTATTATTTTAGGATTTAAAAAATGTTTTATTGATGGCTGGAAATATACTGCCAATGTAATGGAGAAAAATCATTAAACAAGAATATTCAGTATAGTGAGTGATCTTGTATGACTTTGTTTAGTTACATTATGCCCTACTTGTCCCCTGACCCTGCCAAAGGAAAGAAGATATAGCATGTTATTTGTTTTTTAGGTCTATTATTGATTTTTAAAATTGTAATTTACAGTGTTATAATCAGTGATCTGCTTATTTTGTCCTGTACCTGTTCATACAAGGTAGCATCATTTGGAAAAAGGAGAAAATGATGAGAGCCAAAAATACAATACTATTGTAAATCATAAAATGTAAAGTCATAAAATGGATATGTCTTGGTAACTTATTACATATGGAAAGTGAGAGAGTGGTAAAAATGACTCTGAAGTTATCTGAGTTACTGACGTTGGTATTCTATGCAAATACAGAGAAATTTAGACATGAGTCATATTTATTTGGGGAAAGGTAATTACTAGAACTGAAGAGACAGAATGCTTTTTGTCCTTTCTCTTTAAATACAGCTTTTCCTTCAAGGCCCAGTTTTTGTCTCTTTTCTTTCTATGAAGCTTTCTTGATAAGTGCAGCCAATATTAATTTCTCCTTTGTTACCAAAGCCCCTCGGGTTTGAAAATGTTGCCTTGAATAGTACTATTAAGTTTTTACTGTATATGAGTCATGTCTGTCTAGATAGAGTGTCACATATATTTTTTATCCTCTATTAGAGTTTGCTATAAGGTCTAGGCACATAGCAGATGGTCAGTAAATCCTTGTCAGACATCTCTTGTTCTCTTTTGACCCTGTTTCATCATCTTACACTTTTTTTCTCTGCTATTTCTACCATCTGTTTCATGTATCTCATTTTCTGTCCCTCTCTCTGTAATCCTACTATTCCTCTCTGTCCTTTCTTTGGATTTAGCCATGCCAGCCCTCTTTTCTGCCCCATTATTCCTCTTCCTATTATACTCCTTTTCATTTATATTCAGAAAACATTAAGAACTGTGTGTAAGACCTTGTATTAAGTGTCAGGTATAAAGAAACAAACAATAGGGTAAGGATCTGCTGGCCAACTGAAATCTATTCTCTACTCATTTAACTGGTTTGGAAGATTGTATTGCTTCTCTTTATCCAATCCCTTAATATTGTGATTCCAGAAGATTAAGTGATTCATCAAAGATCACCAAAGGTCATCAAGGACAGGATTTAGGATTTGAACCCACATCTGTCTGAGTAAAGCCATGTCACCTTGGGCAAGCCACTTAATCTTTCTATGCTAATTTCCTTATCTGTAAAATGATAGGATTAGATTCTGTGACCTCGTACGTGGTTAAAAGGATGTAAAAAATCTATTGCTGCCACAAAATAGCATGCTAGACAAAAAACAAATAGGCCATTTAGTATCCAGATTTAAAAATTAAAAAACTAATTAACATTTGTTTTTTTAAACTTAGTAAGTTCTGGCTATGTCCCCACATCACTTCTATCCAGTGAACCTTTTCTTATAACAAAGGAAAACATTTAGACAAAATCTGTTCGAGCATTCTGCACCCTTATCCCTTCTCTAAGGAGAGGAAGATGTATTTCCAATGCTCTGGGGCCAAGAAATTAACATTACAATTATACAATATTTGTTTTTGATCAAGTTTTCATTTACATTATTGTAGATTTATGTGTATGTGTGTGTATATATATATAAAACACACAAATACACATATATATTTTTTTTCTTAATTCTGTTGTTATCACTATATCTATTCACGTATATTTGCTTTAAGTATTTTGACACCACAGAAACTTCAAGTAGTTATGTGGTGTTTTTTTTTTTCTAATTTCCTTGGATTATATGCCCAGTACAGGAATCTCTAAATCAAATGATAGGAACATTATTTTTTCACCACGGTGTTTATTTCAAATTTCACAAACAGGATATTATATCTTTCTTTTCAAAGGCCCTCCAGGATTGATTCTGTCTTTTGCCCTCTTTCCCAACTGATGAGTATGAAATGAAACCTAATTTCTCATATTAGTGAGAATGTAGTTGTTTTTCTTTTGGTTTTTCTTTTTTTCTTTTTGGTTCTTAGGTTTTGGTTGATTAAGAATTTGTTATTTTAATTTTCATTGGTTTCTTTTTGTGGTTGTTCAGTTGTTTCAGTTGTGTCTGACTCTTCATGACCCTATTTGTGTTTTTTATTATGTTTTGTTTTGTTTTTGTTGGCAAATATACTGAAGTGGTTTGCCATTTCTTTCTTAAGCTTATTTTACAGATGAGGACATGGAGACAGAGTTGAGTGATTTGCCCAGGGTCACTCAGCTAGTAAGTGCCTGAGGCCAGATTTGAACTCAGGTTTTCCTGACTCTAGGCACAGTGCTTTATCCACTTAGCCCCCTAGCCATCCTTATCTTTTGTTTTTATATCACCTTCGTTTCCAGGTATATGTCAGTATTTTCATTAATTAACATATTTACTAAGTTTGACAATATACCCAATGTTTTGTGCCCATGGTACCTTATGAGTTTGCAATTCTTTTAAAAACTGAGTTCTCTGAGCACTTATCTATTGGGCAATGGCTGTACAATATTGTCATGAACTCTTGTATATTTTGAATATTAGAGATAATTGATACAAAGTATTTTTTTCTGAGTTACCATCATTTCTTCTGGATTAGACATGTGTGGCAAAAAAGAAAATGTGTCCCTGGGGTGGTAAATATATGACTTATTTAAGACAGTCCTCAGACTTTTAGCTCTGCCATACAATTCATTCTGATTGGAGAAGTCTTTTTTTTAAGTGGGGTTGGCATGCATGAGCAAAACTAATGACAAGAGAAGGTAGTGTGAGACACAAGAAGTCAGAAAAAGTTCTCTATTTTGGCCAAAATGAGTAATCAAGTTAAAATATTGAGGGCTTTGAGTGTCAGAATGATTCAGAAAGCAAAAAGGAAGAATTAAACCACTTTAGAAAGATGACTTCTTGTTCCTTCAAACCACTTCCTCTCCTATTTCTATTCCTTTACACTCACATTCTCTTTTTAGAATGTTTAGCTTCTTTCAAAGGTTGGCTCAAAGGTCACCTCCTAAATCAAGCGTATCTTGATCCCCCAGATGTTAATCCATACCTGCTAAATTTGTATCTGTTTTTCACATATTTTGTATTTACTTTTCTGTGTATTTAGTGTTTTCTACCAAAATAATATAAGCTTCTTGAGTAAATGGATTATTTTGTTTTTGTCTTTATGTGCATGGGGCCTAACACATAATAGGCATTGTTGAATGAATGAATTAGAGAGGGATTGACTAGAGAGTAATTAGGAGCTTTTCAAAAGGTAAGAGGAATGAATGGAAGAGTAAATGTAAAGTAAATGTAAGCTTTTATTTACATTTACAGTATGCTAAGCACTGTACTAGGTAGCAGCAATACTATTTGTCCCAGGTCTCAAAGAGCTCACATTCGGATAGGAAGAGACAATACACATAGGAGGTTTCAGCTACAAAGTCAGGTGGAAATACAGTGGCCAAGCAGATGGTAATCCATCTTCTTTATTTGATTAAAAAAAAATTTTTTTTTTGATGTTGAACCATTTGAAAGTGCCAAAGACTGGTGGCAAGAAATTTCTTTTCTGAGTCTTTAGTAGCTGTTGCTGCTGAGGAGGCGGGGGCTGCAGCACCTACAGAGGCAGTTGACAGGTCGAATCTCCACAAATGTTGCTCCCTTGGACAATGGCTGTGGGGCCAGGTAGCAGGGTTGGGGGTGGGGGGTGGGGGTTGGGGGAGGGTGTACAACTGTTTCCAAAAATTTGGGGGTTTATTTGCCCTCTGGGGGCAGTTGGATGGCAGTTGGTTGGCAGTTGGTGTTGTTAATGGCAGGGATGGTGGGCCCCTTGTCCACTAGGGTTGCTTCCCTTGATTATGGCTTTGGGGTTTGACCTGGAAGCAGGACCAGTGGTATGGGCACTGCAGTAATTGACACTATTGGGCTCTGGGTCTGGCTGTGTCCACTGAAGTCCATGGGGAAATGATGGCTGACAAAAGGTCAGACTTGGTAACTGGGCTGTCCCAAAATATAGAACTCATCTTCCCATTTTTCTGCCAATTTATTCTGCCCAGAAGTTACCCAGCTTACTGAGACTTTTGTGAGAGCTCCTGCTCCAAAAGAGCTTTAGCTAGCCCTTCTAACACCCCCATCTTGTCTTCTTCTTGGTAGATCCAACTGCAACTTCAGGCTTATGGAATCCAGGCTCGGGAAGTACGGCTGATGCGAAACAAGACATCCGGTAGGTTTTGTTTTTGTTGTTTCTTCCCATTGTTGTTGGCAAGTGTATTTCTTTCCCCCGTCTTTTTTCTTACTTCCTTATTAACTATACATATGTATCAGATGAATTGAGAGTAGTCGGGGATTTTTTTCTCCTTTTTTTCCTCCTTTTTCTTCCTTCTCCTTCAGGAAGATAATAAGTATATATATCATCTACTCCGTGTTATACATTGTGCTAAGTGCTTTTAAAGATATTATTTCATTTCATCCTCACAGCCTTCCTCTGAGGTAGGTTCTTGTTACTTAGCTATCTAAGTGAATCAAAGGAAAACCATAGAACTGGGATGGGAACAGATCTTTATAAGCTACAATGTTAGAATGAGATTGTGGGTCAAACTTACCTCATAAACCCCAGGAAACAATTTCTTCTTCCTGTCCTAGAGAAAACTTGAATATCTGAGATGATGACCTCTCTCTTCTTCCAGTTTTTCTACCAGTTTTGATGAACCATCCTGTTGAATAGCTATGACTTCTCAGTTGTGTGTGTGTGTACGCGCGTTGAGCCAGTTGAATATATAAAATGGAGGAAACAGTTAAATGATGGCAGAGTGTCTGAAATAAAATGGGCTCTCATTCTGTTTATTGGTTTGTGGATTTGTTTAAGTTTTTCTCTTCTCTCTGACAGCCCTTTTTCTTCTTATACTCAAATAGGCATCACGTTAGTTTAAGTCCTCACTTCTCACCTAATGGTTTCCCTGCCTCAAATGTTCTGCCTCCTTAACTGCGTTTTTTTTTATTTTATGTTCATTATGTGCTTATATATATGCATATCTTCCCCAACCAAGCAGCCCTATTTCATTTTTCTCCTTTTTATCTCTAACACCTACCACAACACTTGGAATATCATTGGTATTTAAAATTTGTTGGTTGATTAATAATTGATTATTGACTGATCCATATCTAGTCCTCCCTCTTCCTTCTCCCTTATGTCCAAACCCTGATCTTAAGGAAAGCAATGTCAACAGAACTGTTAATTAACTCATTTTATCTGTATCTGAATGCTACCTGCAGGTCAGAGCCGGGGCTTTGCCTTCGTGGAATTTAATCGTTTGCAAGATGCTACAGGATGGATGGAAACCAGTCAGGTTGCTTTTCTGCAGCTGAACCTCCTTTCTTCCTTGTACATTCTTAAGTGCTCATGCAGAGTGATTTATATGCACCTATTTGCTCTTTTCTACCTCTCTTCTTTCCCACCTTATTTCTGCTTTCTATGTCAGACCCTGAAACCAACTTTTAGGGCTGTTGCCTCTCCTGTTTCAACCATTATTTATTGTTAGGATTGGATTAGTGTGTAGTAATTAGAAGGGACACTGTTAGGCCCAGACTGTTTCCGAGATGGGAAAGGCTTTAAAGTTAAGAGAAGTGATAGTAACAATAAGCTAGTATACAACTATGGAGAGCAGGGCTATAGGCAATGTTTGCAAAAATCATTCATTAGACCACTATGGTGGGCTTCTTAGTATTCTTTTTTTTTTTATCATGACTGTCTTTTCCTTATCTCTTTCTCCTCTTAATCTTTCAACCTCTTGCCTACTTTTTTCTTAATCTCAGGTGTAACCTCTATAGTACAAGGAATTCTTTATGACTTGGGTGCTTGAGGGCCAGTATTGGTTAGATTGTGTACATACTGATGCTTATAAGACTCAAATCTGTGCTGTTGGGTCCCCCAATTAGCTTCACTATTTAGTCCCTTTTGTCTTTCATTCAGCTGATGAGTCACACTTTCCATATATGCCAGGGAGGTGTGTCATTGTTCCTTCAAGCTCAGGCTTTACTGGGACTAACTTCTTCCCACAGCGTTCTCTCAGCATCCTGAGTCAGAAGGTTTCCATGCACTACGGTGATCCCAAGCCTAAAATTAATGAGGATTGGCTTTGCAACAAGGTGAGAAGGAGGAATAATAGAGGGAAAGCTAAGATGAACTTTGAGGCTTGGCCTTGTGTTATTCACTGTTCTTGGGCCTTACAAAATATCTAACCTGGAAGGTACTTCAGAGTTCATCTAATTCAGCCTGTATTTGAAAAAGAATTCTTTTACAAGGATACCCACAAATAATTACCTATGCTTTCACTAAAGAGTTCTAGTAAAGGAGTCAGTAAAGGGGAACTAGTTATAACCTATAGAAGCACTTTAAGGTAACTTTAAGTGAAATAAATTTTTTGCTTAAAATTAAGCCTAAATTGGAGCAGCTAGGTGGCACAGTGGAGTCAGGAGGACCTGAGTTCAAATCCAGACTCAGACCAGACACTTGACACTAGCTGTGTGACCCTGGGCAAGTTACTTAACCCTAATTGCCTCGCTGAAAACAAACAAAAATTAAGCCTAAATGTACCTGTGTTTCATATGTCTCTAGTTTTGAATTATGTGTCCAAACAGAACAATCCCCTCTCTCTAAGATTACTCTTCAAAACTTGAAGACAACTATAATATTGTTTTTAAGTCTTGTCTTCTCTTTATTTAAAAAATAATTTTTAGGAGGGCAAGGGCTTTAATAATTAGGCAGTGAGGTGACAGTATATTTACTGTCAGAAATCCTTGAGTTCAAATCTTGTCTCAGGTACTTACTGCCCTTAGAAAGTCATTTAACCTTTCAGCCTCTGTTTCTTCTTAACACCACTTATTTCACAGGTTTGGAGGACTGAATGAAGAGTACATAAATGTGTTCATTTGTTCAGTCATGTCACAACTCTTTGTGACCTCATTTGGAGTTTTTTTGGCCAAGATACTGGAGTGGTTTGCCATTTCCTTCCCCAGCTTATTTTACAGATGAGGAAACCGAGGCAAATAGATCTAAGTGACTTGCCCAAGGTCGCGCAGCTAGTAAATGTCTAAGGCTTTGAAGATTTGAGATTTAAACTCAGAAAGAAGAGTCTTTCTGACTCTAGGCGTGGTGCTCTGTGCACCACCTAAGTGTATATATTATGTATATAGTGTTTTCAAAGCGCCATTCTAATATATCATTATCATTATAATCTAAGGTATCATTATCATTATACTCATCATCAGTCATCATTGTTAATATAATCTATAATCTAAGGTATCATTATCATTATAATCATCATCAGTCATCGTTGTTATTAATATTTGGAAGGACCAAGCAATTAGAAAAGGAAGTGTCACCTTAAATGAGCCTTGAAGGAAGCTAGAAATGGTGAGAAGGAAAGTATTCTAGGCATGATAGTCTTGGTAAGATGTGAAGATACCTTTACAAGCCCTTAATAACCTTCCAATCTAGTATAGTGAAGTACGTACTTAACTTGGAAACTTAAAATGTTAGGTTTTTATAGATAAGAGACAGAATGGAAGTCTCTACTCCCACATTTAGTAGTTATGTTGAGGTCAGTTCCCCATTTAAAAAAATTTTTTTTATTTCTTTGTAAAATAGAATTTGAAGGGACTTTAGTGGCCATCTAATCCAATGTAAAAAAAGTACCTCCTACAACAAGAGGTCATCAGGGTCTCTGCTTGGGGATGGTGAGGGCAGCAATAAAAAAGAGGTGCTTTGACCAGGGCAGTACTCTGGAAGGCCTTGAAGAGAAGTAAAAATCAGGAGAGAAACATCTGTGATTAATTACTAGAAGAGGGAGAGATTGACAGTATGGGTAAAATCTTAAAAACAAAAATAAACTTCAGGACCATCAGCCCCTTGTTTCATTTTCTAAATTAAGTTTGTTTTTCCATTATTAAACAGTTATTCTTCCCCACTTAGAAAAAAAGAATAACAAAAACCTTGCAACAAAAATGCCCAGTCAAGCAAAATTAATTCCCTTATTGTCACTGTCCAAAAATGTGTGTCTCATTTCATTCTACATAGTGCCCCTTAAATTTCATAAGTCATGCGGGGAGGAATTATTGCTATTTGGTAAACTTCGTTCAGGGTACCCTGTTCATTTTCTTTATATCTCACTTCTTGTGGGTGTATTCTTTGTTTATAGTGTGGAGTTCAGAACTTCAAGCGCCGGGAAAAGTGTTTCAAATGTGATGTGCCCAAGTTAGGTGAGTAGTTAAGTGAACTTCTGAGTGAAAGGTGACTTATTTGGGGGTTTTAAAGGATTGAGCATGATAACGACCATGGGAGCTTGTTAATTATGCTTCTTCCAGTAATTTCTTCTTTCTTTCTTTCCTCTTTCCCTCCCTGCCTTCCTTTTTTTTTTTTTTTTTTTTTTTT